AAAAATGAAGAAAAAGGGTGAAAAAATAGCAAAAGGGCCAAAGAATAAAAGAAGAAGAAAGTATAAGCCCATCACTAGGCGTGAGCACGTGGCCCACTAGCATAAGGACCTTGACGATCCTTAAGGCACGTTGTTGGTCGTCACGGGCATAATGGACCAAGTGACCAACGTCACTTGGACTTGACGAACGTCACAGAACCACCTTTTCCTTCTTTGATCACGTAGTCTGCAAATCCAACGGAAGAGGAAAGTTCAAACACCAATCCAACGGCCATCCTATTTTTAAGCTCCACTCAGTCAACAGATGAAGGATGTAACCAACTCCATGGTCCTATTTTTTCTCAAACGAACTCGAAGTGTTCCTATATTTTCTCAAACCTACGTATCGCACAAAGTACTATAAATAGAACCCTGGACACAACAAAACCGGGGGTCACCTTTTATATTTTGAGAATTCATTTTCCTTAAGCATTTTTTCTTTGAGCATTTTTTTCCTGCAATTTTTTATTTCCTCTAGCATTTGTTTTCTGTACGATTGTCTCCATTTCTGATCGAAGCAAAGCCTACTAGCTTATGGAGGAGTGCTTCTAGTCAAGAGTTAGAAGTAATTGTACCCGTATCCAGAATTATTATCCTCAGGTTTATTTTTATGATTTGTTATTGCTTTTAATTAATATAATCATGTTTATTTTGTTTTGTCTTTGGAATTGTTCTGTGATTTGGTCTGATATTATGCTAAGCTAGAATTCGTATACCGGTATGTAAGGTCACATAACCAAGAGATCGAGTGACTCAGTTTGGGTAATTTTTACTATAAAACCTTTTTCTGGTCTAAGTTACTATTTTTAATCGATAAATTATTTTGTTACGAAAGTAAAGAACGGATAAAGGTTAGGGTCAACAAAGCGGAAGTTTGAGATCCTTCAACTGGACAGTAGGAATTAGGCATTGGCTTAAAATACAGCGGAAGCACTTTAAAGTTAATTAAGATTCTATTTCGTTTTCAAAAAGTGTTTTTAACTCCTGCGGGATGGCGGAAGCGTACGTTAGGACTTAACTGCATAGCCTAGATCAATAAAACGACAGTGTGAGACGAGGACTTTTAAACTAAATAGATTTTACTGAAAGTTGTTTTGAAAATGCAAAGACACTCAACCGGTTGCTAGTTTCCGAGGTCCGACCATTACATACTGGTAGTTCCGCTTACTGATAATTAAAATTAAACTTAATTTAGTATTTAGTTTCCCTACAACCCAATCAAACGTTCATTAGCTTTAGATTTGCAAAGTAACAATAGAAGACGGTAGTTCGATTCATCAGTCTCTGTGGTTCGATATCTTTTAAAACTACACGATAAGACTGTGCACTTGCAGTTTGAATCATTAAATACCTCAGTGTAATTCGATCAAGTTTGTACATCAAATATATTTTAGTTGAAATTTGTGTAATATAAAATATAATATGTTATTTTGTGTATTTAAATAATGGATTTGAGTTATTTTCTCTATTTTTTTAAAATTATTAAAGTTTTTCAAATAAAAATAATTTTAAAACAAAAAGGTGAATAAATTAACAAGAGTTAAAGGATTTTTTTTTAAAATAACAATTCAAAATGCTAAATTCCACTCTCTTTCTTTATTTTTATTTGTAAACGATATGATAATAATTATAGGTGGCAAATGGTGATGTCCTCACATTTAGTTCTATCCTACAAAAATCTGGAAAAACCTGACGAAATGAGTAAATTAATAAGTGTGAGTTTAAAGCCTTAATTCATCCAAAAAAAGATACCGATAAAAGAGGCATGTTTAATAGGGATGAGATCCTCTCCATTTTTTTTCATGGAAAGCTTAACTATTGAAATTTTAATAATATAAAAATCAAATAATATAAATGCATGTCAGATATTTAAAAAAATATATACATTATGTTTCAAAACTTTAGTAATGAAAATTTCAACTCTTTTAATAGATTAAATTTATCTTATCATTTTTAATAATAATCACTAAACTTTCAGACATCATAAAATTCAAAATTTGAATTTACCTATCATCTATCAGTACTACCACTTGAGTGGCAATAATACATCTTTTTATGCTATAAATGAATTTGTATAAATTTTATATTTTGTTTTTGGAATCTTAGAATTTATTTTATCTCATAATTAAATGATCAAACCCTAAACAATTGAACTTCTAAAGTACAAGATTTTAATTTAATCCAAGTTAAACCAATTTAGGAATTCCTCTAAAATGACAATACATTCAAATTCATTCAATATTAATATCAAAGCATATTTTACTATTGATAACCTCTAAATATTTTACTCAAATAAAATCACTCAAAGTATTAATGATGATGTCACATGCATTAATTCAACCTTACTCTTATGAAGTGAGAAAGTGATTGATCATGCCGATTGAAAAAGAAAAACAAATGAGTCAAACTTCAACACTAATAAATCATCACTACATCAACATTAAAGTGTTTAGAAACACTTTTGAGTAGTGACTTTCAATACTATTCACAATAAACTACTCATAAAACGATCAAGAGTTGAATTTTATCTCACTTTAATTAACCCTAATTAGTCCATTGATGATTTTACAAATACATAGAAATAGATGGAGCCCACACACAATAGAATCAGACAATGACTGTCTTGATTAGATTTAGATGGATGATCATTATCATGATAATCATGTGACATATCTATGATGATCACGAATAATGGACCCTACATAATAGTTTTTTTCTTTTTAAAAAAAACTTATTATGTTATTAGGGGTGATCAAATTTGAATAGTAACTTATAAATTGACTGATTTATTATTTTTTTAAATAAATAAATTAGATCAAGATCGATCGAATTACTTAATTTGAATATTATAAATTGATTCAGTTGAGTTTGAATAATTATTTTAAATTCATTAAAAATCAAACTTGATCAAATTTAACAGATGTTTATTTTATATATTTTTATATTATTTTAGAGTCGAAACATTATAAAAATATGATTCATAATATCATGAAGTTATTATCATTTTTATAAAAATATGATTCATAATATCATGAAGTTATTATCATTTTTATAAAAATATGATTCATAATATCATGAAGTTATTATCATTTTTATAATTTAATAGTGACGTTGTATACTTATAAAAATATAAGATATAGAATATAAAATTTTGAATGCTATTTATTTTTTGCTTAAAGTATGATAATAAAAAAATTAATATTAAATAATATTTAAAATTTTATAATGTATTAATAATATTTTTTTTAATAATAAAAAAAATAATTATTTAAGTTATTCTAAAATTTTGATAATTTTTATAAAAAAATTAAAAGATTAATAATTTAAGTTTTATAAAAGATAAATAATTTTTATAGATTTATTTTAATAATATTAATCAATTAAATCTATTCAATTTATCGTTAAATCGAACCTATCAAAGACTAAAATTTTATCGATCGAAATCGAATTTTAAAATAAAATCGCAATTTGTGTCGGATTTAAATTTTTAATCCGATTTTAATTTAAACTGACTGATTGTCCAGCCTTAATTAAAATAGTGTATGATATTGATACCCTTTATTTGTCCTTGTATTGTATGTATTGACACGACTAGACGCTTACAAAAACATGGATGTGTCAAATTAGTGTCAACGCAACGCCGTTAGATCTTTGTATATAAAAGTTGTTAGATTGTCTCTGTCGTCAAAAAAAACCTTCCAAGTGTTTTTGTTCTTTCAACGGCTAATCCTCCATTGGCATCTAACTAAGGTTGTTCATAGTACAATAGGACGTTTCAATATAAAAATTGGTTTTATAAGAGTAAATTAAGACAAATTATAATGTGATATTAAAGTCTATTAATTGAACCTTGAATAGTCGATTGATTATAATATTTTTTTAATAAATTTTAACTAAAAAATTTTAAATTTATTTTTAACATTATATTTTATTTAAAGTTCTACTTCTTTTAATGGTAAAATAATATATATTATAATAAACTGTGATCCAAAATCGCATCTTGAATTTGGAAGATGGGAAAAAGTCTTGAAGTCCTACTTCTAATTTCTTTGGAGTGCTTCCTCTAACACTAGTCCAAACTTTATTATATAATCAAATTTAATCAATCGAAATTATATTAGTGGGTACAGTAATAGTGATTACTACTATTATTAAATGGAATGTACTAACATTGTTAATGGTATAAATTAAATTGAGACCTGACAGAAGAATTTGGTGTTTATCACAATTGTAGTGATGGTGATGATGTATATGGCCCACCATAAAACCCCACTAGTCACAAGAGCCTATAAATTAAAAACAGTGTTTAGGTTTACATTGTTGGGGTCCATTCCCAAATTCATCAGTGTGCACCCCACCACCCACACATCCATGATTTCCTCAAATTGAAACAAGGACCAGTACTACAGATTTATATAATTATAAAGCTCCAAAAGCTACGTACTCAATTTTCAATTAATTACTACTACACATTACTCTGCGTGCCAGAACAAATCATAAACAAAAAAATTACCATAGCATAAAAAATTAAAATTAAAGGTAAATTACTAATTAGTCCTTGAGAATTGAATTGAAAAGTTGAAAGAAATGAGTGAGAGATAGGCTTTGTTTTTTTTTTGTTGTTGACCCATTTCTCCCCCATTTTTTTTGTGAAATTTTATTTCTGTTTTTGCAGAATATAAACACATATATAGACATCTCACACATGGAGGACCATATCCCATTACATCTCATAATTCTTTCTTCCCAAAGAGCATAAAATATTATATTATAGAATAATAATAAAATCTATAAATTAAAACTCCCCTATGGTAATTTAAAGTTCAGGTTTTTTAACTTTTAAAAAACTTGGATGAAAAAAAAAAGAGACAAAAGAAAATTGAAAATGAAACTAAAATTAAAACTTCTTGTTCTTGTTGTTCTTCAGTTGTCAGCATGATCACAGTCTTTGAAGACATTTCTCACATAATACTGCAGCTTGATGTATTTTCGTCGTTGAAGAAGTTGGAATACGGATCTTGAGGATGTTGCGGTGGTGGAGGGTAGCTATACGGTGGTGGATACATGTAATTCACCGCCATTGGTGGTCTTGCATACATCATTGGTTGAAATCTATCATTTCCTCCTCCACCAGCTGGTATAGCTCTTTGTTGATTCATCATTGCAGCCATGTATTGTTGTTGTTGGTAAGGATTTGCACCCATCATCATTTCCTGACCAGCACCGCCACCAGCAGCGCCGCCTGGGAAATATCCTCCGCCGCCGCCGGGAGCGGTGGCAGGTAGGCCTTGAACAGCTGGAATGTTACTACCTCCTCCCATTTGGTTCATCATTGGCATGTTGTTTCCCATTGGCATACCACTCATGTTGTTGTTGCCCATGGGGCCCACATTGGGATGATGACCAACACCACCCATGTTTGGAAATCCATTGTTCATCATACCTTGAAAACCACCTTCTCCTCCCATTACATTTACTTTTTTGCCCCCGTTATTATTTGAAATTCCACCATTACCACCACCTCCTCCACCACCAACATTCTTGTTTCCATTTTTACCCTCTGGCATTCCACCTCCATTTTTACCGCCATTGTTTTTGTTACCTCCACCTTGATTTGGATTATTACCTCCACCACCGCCGCCACCTTTCTTTCCACCATTTCCACCACCCACGCCATGAACTTGAACAGGCACAGGTCCACCACCACCGCCACCACCTTTCTTCCCATTACCTCCACCATTTCCACCACCACCACCACCACCACCACCCTTCGGAGCATTCATAACCTGTGGATGATTTCCACCACCGGCACCTCCGCCACCACCCTTTGGAGCATTCATAAACTGTGGATGATTTCCACCACCCATCATCATCATATGAGGTGGACCATTACCATTACCACCCATTGGAAGCTTCATCTTATTCAAAGGATGATGTTCCATTTCATCTTCAAACTCCTCATCAGTATACTCATCATCATCAAACTCATCCAACTCATCATCGGTCAAATCATCCTCTTCAGGCAAATTAAACTTCACAGCTTTCATATTTGGGTTCTGATTACCTTGCGGCATCTTCATATTCATGTCCTTGAATTGAGGCATTTTCAGATCTTGAAACCCCTTCATCTGCTGAAGCTGTTGCAGATGCTGCAGCTGCTGCTGAAGATGTTGCTGTTGTTGTTGTTGCTGCTGAAGTTGCTGTTGTTGAGGATTCTGTCCAGCACCACCACCACCACCACCACCACCACCACCTCCTCCACCACCACCACCACCACCCTTTGGTGGATTTTGGTTATTTCCAGCACCCTTTGGACCCTTGTTACCGCTATTATTGTTTCCTCCACCTTTTCCATTGTCAATTTGCATGTTCTTCATCTGGTTTGCAACGTTATTGTTCTGATTATTGTTGTTGTTTGCCTTTGGAGCACCCCAAAGCTCTGCATGTTTCCCTGATTTTGTAAGCTTCTTGATGAGAACTTTTGGGTCCACATTCCCAGAAACGGTCACCTTCCCTTGCTCGGCATCTATCTCAGTAGTAAAAACTCCTATACAACAAAATTACACAAAAAATAAACAACTCTCTTCTACAAATTCAAGATTTGGGTGGTGGAAAAATCAGTTTTTTCTGATAAAAAACAAAGCTTTTTCATGGTGGTGATATGAAAAAGAAAGAAAAAATAGTGCTTTTTTTTAAGAGTATGAATGAGAATGAAATGGAAAAAAAAAATCAATTTTTTGTGTCTTGGTGAAAATTTAGAAGAGTGAATCTTACCATCAATCTTCTGCAAGATTTTCTTAACTTTTTGCTTGCAACCGTCACAGTGAATGTTCACTTTGAGAACACATTTCTGCATGCACAAGCAATCCCAAAACCAAAAACAGAATAAAGAGAAAATTTCATCGTAAATAACAAGAATTATACAACAAAAAGGATAAAACAAAACTCTTTACTTTATCGGAAATGACATATGCATATAAGCACATACATAGGAACATACAAGACAAAAATGAAAAAGAAAAACAAGAAACTAAGGTTAACAAGCAAAAAAAGTTTCAAAAGTAACCGTTCAAAGTTAAAGCTATGAAGAAAAAATGGTACCTGAATCTTCAAAATCTCTTCTTTACTCATGTTTTACAAAAGGGTTGGAACTAAGATGAGGAAATGCAGAAAGAGTGAGAACAGATCTGAGAAACTGTGTATGAGAAATATATGAGAATAAGGTAAAGAGAGGTTTTATAGTTGTGAAGATTTGGTAGGGATGACAGAAGCAATGAAGAGAAAAGGGAGTGTGAAGAAGAAGAGTGGGAGTGAGAGAGATAGAGATAGAGAGAGAGAGAAGAGGTTCAAAAATGGTGGGTAGTCATTAAAATGAGTCCTGTATTTCAGGGTGAAAGTGAGAGAGAGAAAGATGAGAAATCTGAGGCATGAGTTGAAAATGTTCACTCTTTCTTTTGTGCCATTATTTATGGGAGTATTTGGTAAACATGATGCTCAAGTTTCACCTTCGGAGACTTTCTACGTTTGATTACATCCTATTTAACCATGTCCAACTTTTTTTTTTGCAAAGATTCTAGTACAAGATTTCTAAATTACACACCATCTAAAACTTTCCTGTGTTTGAAAAATAGATTTTGAGTAAATCATTTTGTAAAATGAATTTTATTTATTTTATATTATTTGAGCTAATACATTTTACTTAAATTTGGGATGAATACAACTGAATTTTTACTTTTATTTAAAATTAAAGAGAGTACAACAATTCGAGTACAAAGTTTCTTGATAGGTATAGAAAAATGCCAAATGAATTTTATAAATAAGGACAAAAGTATTTATTTAAGTTACTTGTATTTTGGTTTTCTTTTGACTTGTCACTCTATGTTGGTTTACAATTTTTGAAAAAATTGTGATTTAAAAATTATTGAATCGAGTCGTAAATTAAGTGACTCTTTTTAAGATATTTTACCACATTGTTTAAAATTATATAAGACACATGATCAACTACGATATTTTTAAAATAAAATAACTCAGTATAATTATACAAATTCTACTTGTACAGTAGATAATCGGTCTAGAAATGCATCTTCTATGGTACAGAGGTCATTCTAAATAATTTCTCTGACAACGAAAAATTTGAATAGTTCTCCAAAGAGAAATAATAGTCGTTTGATCATTCCAAATAATTTCTCAGAGTTTTCATAAATAATTGTCTCAATGTGTATTTATCTGACCAATTAACTTAAAATTAGAAAAACAATGTAAGTTCCATAATATGATTAATGCATGGATATTCTCATAAGAAGCAAAAGTAAGCAATGAAAAATATTTTGATCAAATCTTATTAGCCGAGATATTTGAAGATTTAGTACAAGTAATCGGGTTCTGTTTTCTTTATCAACCTTCACTCTACAAGGGAACTTCAGCGTTGATCTTTCATTCTTTTCTTTTTCTGATGAATTTTTCTTTTTCTTTTTCATTATGGCACTGGTAAGGTAGAACATTAAAAACTGAAAGAAAAACTGTAACACATAAGTTCATTAATTTCAAGTAAAGAAAAGTATAAGGGGAAGAACTTCTACAGATCTAGCTAGTACTCTTCTTTGGATCATAGCACAAAAAGGAAATAAACTAAAATATAACGATAATTTAAAATTGAAGATGATCGATTGCCTCTAATTAAGTGCTTCTTTAAGGTCATTAGCTTGATCGTTTTCTCCTCTAATCAGGTTCCTCCTTAAAACTTATATCAATGTATCTAATTGATTTAAAATCAAAGTTTATCTTGTGCATGCAATTATTTGGATTTCTCCCCTTTATACCATATATTCTCTAACTGCGTGTTACCCTACTCTTTCTCCATACTCTTTTGGGTGTCTCCTTTTTTAAACTAGAATAAGGACTACAAGTTTGATCATGTGGTTTTAGTGGTTTTCTCAAGAGAGAAAGCTTTGATTGAGGAGGATTTTCTTTAACTTCAAGGATCTTAAATTTTAGATCATTTGTCGACACGAAGACACTTGATTCAAGCTTACTTAAAGTCTCAATTTTTATATGACATGCACATATTCCTTGACTTCTTTATCTTGCGCTTCCTCAATTATTTCGGTAGAATTCACCAAGATAGATTCAATGGGTGACAAAGGCGACTCACTTGGAGAAACTTCCTCGACTACATCTTAAACCACATCCACTTTATAGCATTGAGGGTTTTCTTTTTTTATGTTCTGTGGCTTCAAACACCTTAAAAACAACATGTTCTTTATTGAATATCAAGATCAATTCTCCCATTTCCATATCAACGAGAGCTCTATCTGTGGTTAGGAATGGTCTTCTCAACAGTAATAGTGTTTCAGAATCTTCTAGCATGTCAAAAAATTTAAAATCAATTGGAAACAATAACCCAACGACTCTAACAAGGACATCTTCAATAACTCAATATGGATATCTAATAGAACAACCAGCTAAAGTTAAGGTCACCTGAGTGGGCTTCGGCTTGCCACAATTTAACTTCCTCATCATAGAGAACGACATCAGATTATTGCTAGCCCCTAAATCACATAAAGCATGACCAATAGTTAGTGAACCAATGAAATAAAGAATAGTAAACCTATGTGGATCAATTAGTTTAGGTGGAAGCTTCCTCTGAATGATAGTGTTGGACTCTTTCGCCAAATCGATGTTTTCATCATGATTCAACTTACGCTTTCATAATAAGAGCTCCTTCATGAATTTAGCTTAAAATGACATTTATTCAAGAGCTTCACAAAATGGGATGTTAACTTTTATTTTGTTCAACATCTCCATGAACATTTTAAACTGACTCACATGGGAGTGTTTGAACTTGGTTGACATTTGCTTGACCAAGTTGGGACGTAATTAACTGTTTAGAAAGTACCTTCATTCGAGCTAATAATGTTTTATTTAAATCAACTACGAGAACACCCTTTTGTTTCACCACTTAATCATTTGAACGACACTCATTTTTGCACATATTCTCGATTAGTATCTTTACCTCATCTCCATTCTTTGTTCTCAATGTACCTCTAATTGAGGCTTCTATAAGCATTTCATTGGTGTTTTCAGCCTATTGATGAAATGTGTCATCAACTCTATGACACTCATATGATGATTTCATAGTAACAACTTGGATCTCTTACATGCATCAGGTAGTGTCTCAGAATCACCTTGGTCAAAATTTGAGATTTCAGCTTTCCTTTCCACAAACTGAGAAGTAATAAAAAATATTTCTAAAAACTTGTCTTCTAATTGAGTCCAGGTTTGAATAGTTCCATTTGGTATATAATTTAGTCAATCTTTTGCTCTTTCGGTTAAAAGATGTTTCATAAAACTGAGTCAGATGCTCCCAAGGATCTCTAATAGCACTTTCATCAAAGAGGTTATCTCTCAAACCCGTAAGAACAACATTTTTAATGTTAAAAGTAACAGGATTTTCCGTTTGAAACCCGAGAGGTGGCCGCCCCACATCAGTTATCCTGCAATAGTCCCCCAATGATTGTCGTGGTGGAACGGTCAAGATTCTTTCTTCTTGTTCTTCCCTTGTTAATCGCACTAACTGAGTTTCTTTTGTTATTCTTTGTTTTTGTTGTTACTCTATCATGAACCTTGCATAAAAAAAATACCTTAGTAGCACTTCACTAATTAACAGGAACCAACAAAATAAATAAAATAATAATAACACAAAAATTAAAAATAAGCAAATAGAATTAAAAATTAAAAATTAAAAATTAAAAATAGAAAATAAAATAGAATTATAATTATTTACAAAAACCAAAATTAAGATAGAAAATAAAATAGAATTCTAATTATTAGAAACTAAAACCAAAACTAAAGATAAAACAATTAATAAATAGAAACAAAGAAAATTCAAATTTAAACCTAAAAATAATTTTTTTTAAATGATAACAAACGTCGCACAAAAATTGTCTCATTGAGATCAACAATCTCCGGCAACAACGGTAAAAACTTGATGACTTATCTATAAGTGTATTGATAATGTCAAAGTGACAATAAAAGATTTGTCTCCACGAGGATTGAATTTTAACAATAAAATTAATTGTGGAATTTAGTATTTAAAGGAGGGGGTCATCGAAAAGTGGTTCTAAACGAGAATTAAAAAAGAAGTTATTCAAGATGGAGAAGGCGATTAGGAACATTTATCGAATCCCTTTATTTTTACTTGTTGAAGAAATGTGTACCTATTGAGTTTCAATCATATTATTATCTCACTATGAATTAACATAACTACTACACCGAATTCCTTGATGTGTAGCTAACTAATTTATACGGTAATTCCCTAATTACTTAGGTCAATTCAAAGATAAATTAGGCGTTGTCGGGGTGTTAATTTATAAGCAACAACTTCTAAATTCCTATTCTAGTTCATTACAAAGTTGAATAAATTTCCTAGTTCAGATAATTAAAATAGCTGTCAGAAATTCCTAATTATGTAGATCGATTCATATGCCTGTAAGTCACACAAAGCATTAAAACGAATAACAATTTAAATAAGATAATAACATATACAGTACTCAATAAATCTCAAACATACATATGATTCAACAAGGTAAAAACAAGGTTCATCTCAAAAAGCCCTAATCTAGAGAAACTTAGCTACTCATTGTTAAATTAACAAATACCATGAGTGGAGAAGTATTTATCATCAAAATATATAGAATAACTGTTCTCCAATGTTTCCAATATGCTCCAAAATCTCTCCTTGATTGACCATAGCCGTCACTTTCTATCTCAGATTCGGTACCCCCCCTAAAATTGGGATAAAAAGCTACTTTAAATAGAAAAAGCATGTCAGTTGGAAAAGCAGTATCACGCCGCGATAGGTTATCATCACACTGTGGTACAAGTCTCATCACGTCGCGATGGGTTGTATCGTGCATGCGAGAATTCTAGGGGCAAAACCGTCGTTTTCCCTCCCTTTTCATCATAATTTGCACTAAGTTGTATTGATATTTGCTCTATTATTCACATTTTAACATGGTTTTTGATCATTCTTCTTCCAAATTTACCTGAATTTCTTCATAAAAATTGTGTAATAACTATTGGTATCACTGATCCGGTCTCAATCCCTATTTCTTGTGCTAAGTTCTGCCATA